ACGCTAAAAATAGCGTGGGGCTGTGCTATTTTTAGAACGGGACTGGCGCAGGCCCAGTTCCCGGTAGATGAACAGTCAGTCCCACGCTAAAAATAGCGTGGGGTTGTGGTATTTTTAGAACGGGACTGGCGCAGACCCGACTTTGGAAAACGAACAGTCAGTCCCGAGCTAAAAATAGTACATGACCCTATTTTAATTATTTGGGCCTGGCTGCTCATCTATATGGCTACTTAGGGCTGTTCTTTTCCTAGCCGGGCTACGCGGTCGTGTCGGTCCGGTGGCAACCAGTCAAACTTGAATATCTCGCTGACCCTTGGTCCGTTTCAAGTGACGTTTGGACCGAACCTTACTAATTGATTCATTGCAGTTGCGTCGGTCCAGTCCAATGGGGATGATTAGTCCTCCAGAGAATCGTACCGTCGCGCCGCTCTTCCTTCGGCTTCGGCCCAGAGGAAGTCTAACCGAAGTACTAGGGTCCATGACTACGGTACATAATTTCTGACGCAGCGTGGAAGTTGACCGCGGCGAGTCAATTTTCGCTGCTGCGTCGCAACATCTTCCGACAACCATACCAAACCCCGTTCCTGGCGTCCTCGCCAGGTTCAGGCCACTATAAAGGCCTAATGGCTTACTCATTCTCACCATTCGCAATCAAACTCATATTGTCGAGTGTGCGGCGCTATCACAATCTTGCTATTACTGCTGTTTTCATCGCTCTCGATTCGCTTGTGCCCTTGTCGTACTAGCGCTTACTATCGTGCAACGCTTATAGCCGCGCAGCTAGTTAGTCTTTGCATGGCACCGAAAACGCGAGGGTCGGACGCTGGACGTGGGAGAGGAGGTAGATAGGGGAAGGCGCTAGATCGACCGATCGATCTGACGTACGAAGCGGAGAGATCCGAAGAGGAGGAGGAGGAGGTGAGATGGGGAGGAACGCGCCTGCGCCATCGCTCAGAGGACTGGCGCAAGCGCACGCAGTCGCCTAGGTCTATGATGTACTATGCATATAAATATGAGCAGCGCTACGACTTTCCGCCTCCACGTTTCGATCCGCCCTCTCGATCATACCCTTCACCATATCATCCTTTTTCCTCTACTCAACCATCCCCTCGCCAGCTCACCGTCCTGCGACAACCGCCTCGCCCTACGCCACCGCCGTTGCCACGCGCACCAGAACCTCCCATCGCCCACCAGGCTGCGCCGCCCAACCATCGCTTGTGCCTCATACTTGCATTGTTCTTCATATGCCAACTTGAGCTAAGGGGCCTTATATGCTATCTCATATATAGCGGAATCATATAAACTGTATCCCCAATCATCAGGGTGCTCGCCTGCTAGGGTTTGAGTGCTCACTCAATAAGGCATGGACCACTGGTCCAAGCCACCATCAAAATCAAGAAGGAATTAACCCTATTAGTTTTGCGTGGTGTAGTCACCGCACGCAAGTATCATGACTGCTCATGCAGCCCAATCATACTATCAATCCCGTTCCTTTGCATCACTGAATCAGCCTCGATCTCAAGTCAAACCTTCCATTAGGTTTGGCCTCATGCATCATCATGATCGATCCTCAATCTTAGACCTGACCCTATCGCTAGGTCTGGTCTAGCAGTCCAAGTCTCAATCCTGGCCTGCACATCTCATCATCACTGGATCAGTCCATCTCATCCATACTGCCCATCAGTACAACATAATCCTCATCGATATCTCAGTCACGGGCGGCTATGGGACCAATCATCGAATCCAGGATCATCCAGGTCACCTAGACCGAAGGCGTCCTCATAAGGGGTGATCATACCAAACCCCTTTCTCTTTGTCTGCCGACTCTATACCGCTCACTGTCGAGTCATACCAAACCCCGTTATCTTCGTCTGCTGTAGGGTACCAACAAAACAGATGTCAAGTCACGACTTAAAAAAAAAGACGAGAAAATAGGGTCTCTCCTAAAGACCCTTGCCAACACCCCTTCCTCACCCACTCTCAGAGTCTTACCTTTCGGCCTTCCGAGAGTGCCCCCGCTCGCCCTGGTGGGCTCCTCCGCTGACCCAACCCGGCAAGCAGAGCAAAGCCAGTCCTGATTCCCAGTCATGGTAGTCTGACCACCCTCTGAGCTCTTGCTCAGAACAGCTCACGGGGAACCGCACACCCCTTCATGAAGCCCTCACTCCGATGAATGCAGGCCCATGGCGCGGAAGCTCTTTAGTCGACTTCAGAACTTCCGTCTACTCGCTCGACTTCTTTCTAACGCCCGACTCTTGCTACTGTGCGGGGAGCCAGCCAACACCTAACCAGACACTGCTGATGCGTCAGAGCGAGTCCACAATTAAGCTTTGCAACATTGGGCTAGGAGGCCATAATAGCCCTGTTGCCAGCTGGGCTGTGGATACCTGGCTTGGCCCGATGCCAAGGGAATGCCCCTGGAGACACTGCTCCCGAGAGACACCCCGATCAGAGTGATAGTAGGAGTCCACCACCTGGATCAGCCAAATGTCGGATTTAGACTGGGAGAGGCTCAGGATGTCTCCTTGCTTTCTAGCAGGCGGACCAGATCATCATACGATGACCTGAGGAACGGCTAACCACCCTAGGGTCCGGAGTTATCTGCCATTATGGCTCAGACACCCTGCTGACCCAGCTAGCCTCTGGACCTTGTGAGAACCTGCTTCAGGGAATCATCTCTTGCTCAAGAGGCGCAGTGGAAAACTCTCTGCCTCTTCATAAAGGACGCAAGTGCTGACACCGCAGGGGACGCCACTGTGGATAGACTCTCGTCGGGGAACCGTTGCGAGGGCCCGACGGCTGCAGTGGGAACACTCCTTCCAGCATGAAGAATGCGGCGAGCCTCAATCCGCTGCGATGCTAAGTGATCTTTGCCCGATCACATGATCGGACAGATCACTCCATCGATTATGACACATGACTGATTACCTATCCCTTTAGAGCTTGGTAGCGCTTAGCCGCGAAGGCCCGTCTTGAGAGGAACCCCATCTCGACGATGCTGAGTCCCTTGCCAAGGGAACACTTCATTAGGCTAAGTACCACCCTCTTTCAGAGACAACCAATCAACTTGTGCCAGATGACGCTAGGCAATCCTCCTTACGCAATCGTACTAGAAGGTTGCCCCATCAATTGAGCACTGACTTATGAGAGGAAGAAAACAAATTTTTACTTTATCCCACAGTCATTCATTTCACAATGCCATTCAGACTAAATAAAATACAATAAGAGACAAGAACTGAAATCCCATAAACTGGCTCCCAACTCCCCAGGCATGTCCTCGGACTGACACATGACAAGCCAGATACAATGCAATGAACTGAAATTTTAAAAGTTTAACTCACAATCATACAAAATTGGGACCAATCAGGGCCCGACAGACACCAATGAGTCGAGCCATCACAGGCTGCTCGTATCCAGCTCTGACATCCGAAATCATACCATAATCATAGCAGCCGACTGTCGGCTGCTGTTGGCGGCACACGGACCACGTCTCAGCACATAATCATCATCGATAGTTGGCGGCTCACTGGTCACGCCCCAGGCAAATAATCATCATCATTTGTAGCTGGCGGTAACACTGTCCACATCCCAACTCATAATCATCGATAGCTGGCGGCTCACTGGCCATATCCCAGCAAATAATCATCATCTGTAGCTGGTGGCAACACTGTCCACATCCGAGCTCATAATCATCGATAGCTGGCGGCTCACAAGCCACATCCCAACAAATAATCATCATCTGTAGCTGGCGGCAACACTGTCCACATCCCAGCTCATAATCATCGATAGTTGGCGGCTCACTGGCCACATCGCAGCCAATAATCATCATCATTTGTAGCTGGCGGCAACACTGTCCGCATCCCAGCTCATAATCGTCATCAACTGAAGCTGGCGGCACACTGTCCACATCCCAGCATATAATCGTCATCAACTGAAG